TCTGTATGTGCGTGTGTGTCTGTGTGTGTGTGTGTGTGCGTGCGTGCGTGTGAACAAGCAGCTGTGGGGAAGAGCGAGGATTAGTTCAGCTCCCACTGGACTAATGGACAATCTGTAGACGCTCATTAGTCATTAGTTTAAAACAGAGAATCTAAGTGCGGTCACACTAAACTTTAAGTGTGCAAAACGAGTTCAAAACACGCAACAAATATGGCCGACAGGATGTGCTCTTTAGTTGCTGTTGTGAATTAAAATAAACTATAAATGATACCAAATATTAACAATGAGGATGTAACATATATCATTAACCTATAGTATAATAAATCAATGTTAATTAAATAATTTATCTGCAAGTAGATATGTAATTGTGTATTAGCACTTCCCCTTTTTTTTTTTTTATTAATTAATTTATTTACATTTATTTTTTTCACTTAAAATTTCATCTTTTAAAATGCTAGAATTTAATAATTCTGTTAAATGATCTTGACATAATTATGCTTTTTTTGTACTGTGCACTATATTGCAGTGATGCCATTTAATTGTAGTATTTTAATTTCTTTCTTTTTTAATGTTGAGTTTTAGTTTTTAGTGTTGCATTTTTAAAATTTATTTAATAGTTTTGTTTATTTACTTAGACAAAATAATTTATTTTGATTTAATTTTGGCCATTTAATTTAATTTTGTTTATCAGTCACAATGTGAAATCGAATCTCCAAACGAATTTCAATTCTTCATATTGTGCTATACAATTTTGTAATGCTTAAATTCACTTTTATGTACTTTTAGTTAATTTTATCTAATTTTAGTTTTTACTGTATTATTCTTCATTTATTTAGACAAAATGGTCCATTTAAAATAAGTTTTTAGTGTTTTATTTTTCATGAACTTTGATATATAACTTTCATATATATATATATATATATATATATAAAGATTATTATATCTCAGTACTGGCAGAGTATTTGTTCAAAAGTACACGTTTTCTAATCAAAGTAAGGACCTTTCGGCAGTAATACAAGTATGCTAATTGATATTTAGCCTATGCAACACATTAAGTCTCGCTTAGTATATCACTTGACGATGCAGTGTAAAAGAGATTTCAGAAATATACAGCATTTGGATTATATATGTCATGCATCTGAACCAGCATTTTAGTTCTATTGAGTGAAACCAGACTTTCTGAGTGGTTTTAGCATAAGCAGAGTGGCCGTCTCTTGAGCGATGGCCCAGAAGACTCAGCGAGAAGGAGACCACCTGTTCTTATCCATTTAATTGAATAACAGCGCAATCAGGATCCATTTACACCGAGCAATTAGACCCTGCCTTGTTTGCCGTGAACGCTGGTCATGTGATGAGATCTCGTTACTGGAGTCGTGTTTCTGCAGGACTCCACGTCTCAGTAATTTTCTGAGATGTCACGCGTCTCACGCTGTTGGCAGAGAGAAGACGCTGGTCATTTCAGAAGCTGACACTCTGAGCCCTTGCTGTCACCTCCGTGCCCTCTATCAAGATGCTAATGAGTTAACATTCAACACCTCCCACCAATCACACGAGACGAGCTGACGAAGTCATTACAGACGTGTGGCTGTGGAAGTGTGCCATTGTGTTTGGGTGAATATAATTGACCGTTCTGATTAGTTATTAACTAAAGTATCAGGTGTGTGACAATTTACAAGTCTGAGATTCATTCAAGGACACGACGACAAGGACAAATTACTACAGAATGTGAGCAGAAAGAAATGTGCCAATATATGAAAAGATGCATACACCCATACTTTAATTATATTTATAGCAGGCTGTGCAATAAATGTTATAGAATTAATTTAATTAATTATAATAATAACTTCATAAAAAAATTAATTATTATTTATTTTTAAATGTCCAATATTCAATATATTTAGAATCTGGCACAGTGAAACAATAATATCTACAATAACAGAGTATTATTATTATTATTATTATTATTATTATTGTTATAACAAATAATAATAATAATAATAATAATAATCTTGACTTTTCCCAACAACTAATATTTAAAAATAAATTATTGTCGACAAAGACACAATAA